TCATGAAAGACCCATTCTCAAGATACTCCATTAATCTACTAATCCACTAATCTTGTGAGTAGATTACCTCCCTAGTGAAGGCAAGAATCTAATCATTCTTACAGATCCAACCTTATCCTATTTCTTTTCCATGTTTTGTTTTAATTTGAGACAAGGTCTTACCATGAAGCCCAAGCTGGCCTTGAATCCACAATCATCCTGCCTCAGCCTCCTGTATACTGGGATTATAGGCATGGGCTACGATACTCAACAATTCTCTCTCATCTTCTCTCTCTCCTCCACCCCTCAGCTGTGAACTCAAGGCTTAACATTTCCTAGGCAGGCACTCTAACAATTGAGTCATGTCTTTTTTGCTCTTTTGCTCTGGTCATTTTTGAGATAGGATTTATTTATTTGTCCAAGTTGGACTGAGCTACAATTCTCTTGATCTCTGCCTCCAGAGTATTTACAATTATAGACATGGTACTTATTTTCTGGGCTTTGACTTAGTCTTTTTAAAAAATTACACTATTTGGGCTCACCATACAATCTATTACACTGCAATTTATTTATTTGTAACCCCTTACTTACCACCCAGTGTGTTTACTTGTAGATTTATAGGCACATTCTAGCTACCATAAATTAGGGAAACCATGCAATGTATGTTTCTCTGGGTCTGGCTTACTTCACTTAATATAATTTTTCCCAAGTCTTTCCAGATCCTTATGCATAGTACAATATCATTCTTTCTAACGGATTAGTATAATTCCACTGTGTATATTTATTACATGCTCTTGATCCATTGGCCCGTTGAGGGGCATTTGGGCTGGTTCCATATCTTGGCAACAGTTAAAAAGTGCTGCAATGAGCATGGTTGTGCCGGTAGCTTCATTGTGGCCTTGCTTGTGCTTTATTGGATAAATGCCCAGAAGTGGAATTGCTGGGTCAGAGGGAAACTCTGTGTAGTTTTTTGAAGACCCTCCATACTGCTCTCCAAAGTGGTCAAAAAAAGTTTACATCCCCATCAATAGTGCAGTAGAGTTTTCTTTTGGCCACATCCCACCAGCATTTGTATTGTTATTTTCTTAATAGTAACCATTATAACTGGGGTGAGGTGGAATCTCAATGTTGTTTAGATTTGCATTTCCTTTATGGCCAGCGACACTGACAATTTCTTCATGTGTTGATTAGTCATTTTTACTTCTTCTGAGAAGTCTCCCTTTAGGTCATTAGCCCATTTATTAATTGGGTTGGTGTTTCTTCCAGGAAATGGGCACTTGCAAGAGGGGAGGGTGAGGCTAAGGAGAAGGTGGGAAAAGAATGAAGTGGGAGGGAGGGAAATGCAGGCAAGAATTCATTGTCTATACCACAGAATTGAGAAATATAAGGGAAGGGGTGAGTGGGAGGTATGAAGATGTTAAAGGGATGAAACATATCAAAATGCATTGCACACATAACTGCTTTGTTAAATGTCAAAAATTCAATATATAATCTAAATTAAGATAAGTAAGGGAAGGGTTGGGTTGGGAAGGGATCGGGAGGGGTGGATGAAGATGTTGAAAGGGATAACATTGATGAAGAAGTTCAGTGCTCATAAATTGCTTTGATGAATGGCAACTCTTTTGCGAACTACTTAAAGGTAATAAACAATATTTTTTTAAAAAGAAAACAAATCAACTTGCACTCATCAACTTATGAGTGCAAGCATTCTAATCTAATGCACACAACTGAATGATTGCATTAGGACTAATGGTTGCATTTGTTCCAATTCAGGTTCACCAAACAACATTCTGAGTAAAAATTGACTTCCCATGTTTGTTTATGGGGAAAATATACTCAGCACTATTATTTTTCAGTGTGAGTAGATCAATTAGCATTTAGGATTATGTAGCTATTTTTTCTGAGGGGATTTATTCAACATTCCTCCCTCAGAGAACTGTCAGCATTGGTGCTTAGCAGTCTGTCTCTAAAGGATGGATGACAGAATGAATTTTAAAATGAAGGGACCACAGGTCTTACTATTCATTTCTGATAGGTGTCTGTAGTGGCATCTTCATCTCATCTTCTATTATAGCAACCCTTCATAATATAGAACCTAACACCCAGTAGAGTAGTATCTGGGTTTTCCTGGTAGGGAAAATTCTCTAGTACATAGCTTTTCCCAGGAAGTGGGCTGGAGTACATTTTCAACTTTGATGCCTGGTTCTGATTTTGGTATATATGCTGCATCAATTATTTACTACCACTGACATACTTTATTGACTCATGCAGTTCAGCAGTCATCTTGAGTGATGACTGAAATACGTTATGGGCAGATGTATGAGTATAAAGATGCATTCAGAAAATAAAAACAAAGCATAGAAAGCAATCTACCCATTGTCAGATAAAATGGAAAACAAACCATGGTATATGCCTACTATGAGTATTATTGAATCTTAAATGGGAAGGACATTCTTTTTTTTGAAGGAATATATTTTTTTATTGTGAAAATACCATACAGAGGGGTTGCAATTACATGGGCAAGGTAATGAGTACATTTCTTTTTTTGGGGGGGGGTGCGGTCCGGTCGTGTGGCTTGAACTCTGGGCCTGGGCGCTGTCCCTCAGCTCTTCAGCTCAAGGCTAGCTCTCTACCACTTGAGCCACAGCGCCACTTCCGGCTTTTTTCTTTTTGCTTATGTGGTGCTGAGGAATCGAACCCAGAGCCTCAGGCATGCACGGCAAGTGCTCTACCACTGAGCCACCTTCCCAGCCCCTGAGTATATTTCTTATCAAGCATTGTTGCCTCCTCCTTTGTTTCCCCTTCCCATCCCTCCCCTCCCCTGAAGGATATTCTGATACAGGCCTTCATACAGATGACCTGCAGATGAAATAAGCCATGTATGAAAAGACAAATACAGTTTGATTCCACAGCTACAAAGTAGTCAAACTCACAGAAACAAAAGTCTAATGGTGGTTGCTAGAGCTGGGGACGGCTGGAATGGTAGTTAGTATTTTCCTGAGTATAAAATTTCAGATTTGATCCTGGGACCCATCTCCAATAGCCATCTTCTCAGTTTTGGTGGCCTAGTTGGCTCTGCAGCAGCCTGTGATGCTCTGAGATATATTGCCAGGGTGATCCATAAGAAGGAATCACCCCAGATATCAGGAAAGCACCACATTCCCAAATCTATTTGCTCTTCAAGTTGGGGTATGGATTTGGGCCAGGGATAATAACAGTACCCCTAAAACAGAGTCTACCAAGTTACTTGTCATTGTGGATGTAACAGTTGTTTACATATTGTGACCCTCATGTGCTGTTGCCTGAGATTGGCAGAGGAGAAAGCTGTAGAACCAGTGAGAATGACCATCTGAAGGATTATGGATTCTTCATCCCAACAGCTGGCTGGACTGGGCCATTTATTGAGAATTTTGGATTTTCCTCTGATGTTGAAGAAATATCCTGTTTATTAAGAGCTAAAATAGTATTCATTTACTGTCTCATGTGTCTGTGACAGAGAGCTAATAAGGGTCTGAGGTGAATGGACATTCCAGCAATGTTGATCTTATCATTATACATATATGTACTGAAATATCTCACTGGACAGAATGAATATGCACAATTAATATGGAGCACTAAAACATGTGTATAAAATTAAAAACAATTTAAGTTTATTTTAAAAACAATTTTATTATTATTATTTAGATGTTGTACAGAAGGGTTATCATCTCATAAGTTAGGTGATAAGTTTATTTCTTGATTTTGGATGATGTTACCCCTTCCTTCTCTCTTTCAATCCCAGTTTCTGCCTTTCATCCTTGCCCACAAGTTACATAGGTCATTTTCTACATAGTGTGTACTGAGTAGCATGTTTGCCTTTGTTTACCTATCTTTCCTTTTTTCTCCGTTGTCCCCTTTATCCCCCCAAAAGAAAAAAAAAGCAAAAACAAACAATCCAGCCACCACCACCACCACCATCAACAAAAACCCATGTTTCCATTTCCTGAAGTTCATTTTTCCATAAATAGTATTTTAAATGTTCAGAGAAGTTACACCTTTGTGTTCCTCCCCTAAGATTATCCTCCTTTAGTCTGAAAGTTTGTGTGTGAATGCCTAAAAACAATTTAAGTTTTAAAAATGAAAAAGTTTTGGAGATAAAAGGTTAACTGTACTAGTGTATTTAATACCATGGAACCTTATACTTAATATAGTAAAACATATAATTATTCTTATAATCATCTAATTTATAATCAGTTATATTTTCTTTTTGTCATGTTTGTCTTTGGGAGAGTAAAGGGGCACAGAAATGGAGGTACAAAGGGTGAACAAATGCAGAAGTGGTACTCACTACATACTATGTTGAAAATGAACTATACAACTTGTGGAGGAGGGGAGTTGGGAGGGGAAAAAAGTGGTAGAAAAATGAGGATAGAGGCGACACTGTCCAAAAAAAAGTACTCATTACCTGATATAACCATATCCCTTCTACACATCACCTTTATGATGACATTAAAATAATTTTAAAATCATTATTTTATCATTTTATATAACTGGAATATATTAAATTGTTACTATATTAGTTATTGTACATATTTATTTATATATAACATAATTGGGGGTGTGGGAAAGGACTATCGTTCCTGCCTTAACATGCTTATACTACAGCGTCCATGAGAGGCCCATCAGGAGGGCTGGTGTTAACATTTTGGGGATAACAGACTAGAGCGAGGTTAATCTGCGGAGACCCGGGGATATTTCATGACGAAAATGGCATTATGTAAAATCTGTTTATCAACATCATTGCTACTGGTAAAAACAGAACTCCCAGGAGAGCCGGCCTGCCTGTGTCTCTCCTTGTCCTCAAATGCAGCTCTCTGCCTCACAGTTCGTTTCCCCCTCCCAGAAGTCCTCGCTAGGGCCAGCGGGTGGCGAGGGCGCCCGCAGTGCCTCTCCAGGACGCAGGGGGCGCCCTAGCAGAACCTCTCTTCCCTTCGTCTCGGTGACACTTTCTTCCGCTTCCCTGGTCCAGAGCTCACTGCGCCTGCGTGGACTGCTGGTCTGTGAAGAGGATGGCGGCTTCTTCAAGTGGGGAGAAGGAGAAGGAACGGTCGGGAGGCTGTTTGGGGTCGGCAGGCGGTAACAGCACGCGAGAGAGACTCTTGTCTGCACTGGAAGACCTCGAGGTCTTGTCTAGGTAATGCTGGCGTCCGGGCTGGGGTCGGTTCCTGGCCGTGTTGGCTTGGTCTCGGGGGGCTCCATGGGGCGGGTCCCGAGAGTGGGGACGCGGGGTTCGCAGGCCCGTGGGACTCCGGGCGACAGGTTTCCCCGGGAGATTACATTTTAGTAGCACCACGGATTCTGAAAACCCTAAACCCAGCCGTCTGGCCTTGGGGAAATCTCCAGGTCTGAGCCCCTTCGTCCACCGGTTGACAGACTGCACGGAGCAGCCCGGGGCTGCAGCGCGGGGCGGCCGGACGCCAGCGGGGGTGGGGTGGGGTTTACCTTGACTGCAGGAATGACGGGCGAGGGGCCGGTGTGATTAAAGGGATGCTCCAGCCGCTGGCCGCTTCAGGCGCGCAGGTTCCAGACAACCTGTTTCTGTGGTAAGGCGGTCTTTTGAAGAAATGTTTGGAAAAGAATGAGTTCATCAGACTGGTAGCTGGCGCCGAATGTGCAAACGCTTGGAACTGTGAGCACGCCGGACTCGCTGGAATGGAAAGTTGTTCGGGATGGCTGGAGTTTGGTAGAGATAGATGAGTCTCAATACTCTCTAAATTCTTAACATTGATATTCTTATACTCCTAATATCCAGTTATTAATATTCTCCATGTTACCAACTGTTATGATAGTCTTTGCAATTGGAGCCTTCTTTTAATGTCCTAGTAGTAACTTGGATGTTAACATTCTTTTGTATTGTCCGATTTGTTCTTGTAGTTTGTGCTGGCACTGGCGCTTGAACTCAGGGTGTGGGCACTGTCTTTCAGCTTTTCACGGAAGGATGATGCTCTACCACGTTAGCAACAGCTCTACTTCCAGTTTTTTGCTATCTGAGATGCTTACCTCCAATAACTCCGTTCCTCAAGTCTCAGCCTCCTGAGTAACTAGGAGTACTTGTGTGAGCCCCTAGCACCGGGCAGAATTACCTTTTTTATTCTCTTTTGGTCGTGGGTCTTGAACTTGAGGCCTGGACACTGTTCCTGAGCTCTTTTGCTCAAAGCTAGCACCCAACCACAACACTATTTCCAGTTTTCTAGTGGTTAATTGGAATAAAGAATCTCCAATTTCCTACATGGGCTGGCTTTGAACCCCAGTCTTCATATGTCATCCTCCTGAGTAGCCAGAATTACAGGTGTGAGAATTATCATTTTGAAAGGCACTTTTTGTCACTTTTCTTCTATTAACAATACTTAGTAGGTTCTTGTTACCTGATAAGATGAAGTTCAAGTTCCTTAGCTTAGTGTGAAGCAAGGCTGTTCTCCTGGTACAAACTAAACTGTTACTTTCATTTGCTGCCACACCCCTCTATCTGTCTACCTTTTCCACTTCCCTTTCCAAGTACAGTCACACAGATGGACCATGTATGCAATAGTGGTCAATTAAGAATGTAATGGAGGACCCGGTGACCTTTTAGCTATGGTGTACATTCTAGTGCCATGCATTACATACCTATTTGTAGTGGTGCTGATAGTTATAGAAAAGTATGGCACATACAACTATGTATAGTATATAATATTTGATAACAAATTAAATTGTTACTAGCTATGTATTTACTATATTTGTATCATTTTATTTTTTTAATTTAATTTTATTTTTTTTGTGTGTGAACATACTGAGTATCATTATTTTAGAACGTATAGTTTTCCTCAAGTATTCTTGTTATTTTTACTAATCAGGACAGGCTAAACTTCCAACAGACTGTGCCTGTGTCCCCAGATCTAGTTCTTTCCTGCCAATAAAATCAGATATAATGTATTATTTCATCTTTTTTTCCTTTTTCTTTCTTTCATTCTTTTTGTCAGTTGTGGGGCTTGAACTCTGGGCCTGTACGCTGTCTCTCAGCTCTTCAGCTCAAGGCTAGCACTCTACCATTTGAGCCATAGCGCCACTTCTGGTTTTCTGAGTGGTTTATTGGAGATAAGAGTCTCATGGACTTTTCCTGCCCAGGCTGGCTTTGAACTGTGATCCTCAGATCTCAGCCTCCTGAGTAGCTAGGATTACAGGCATGAGCCACCGGCACCTGTCTATTTCATCATTTTGTGTCAGCATATAATGGTTCTGATTTTATATGATCTTTATTGACCTTAAGAAAAATGGCTAGTGTAGTACAATAGTGTAGTAACTTGAGTAGCTTGTAATAATCAGTGCTTTAGACTTCTCTAAAGAATGTATAACCAATGCAGGGAAATTTCATGGTTACTACTTGCCGTTAAATGAATTGTAAAGCCAAAAAACCCTATGCCATTTTACACTGGCAGCATCTCCATACATCTCATGCTTACTTGTGGCTCTTGATTGCTTCTCATTGACTGGTTGCTCTATATCCTCTAGGTTTGCAAAAGTATAGTTTATGAATTCCAACAACTAGGTTGCTTGATGATACATTCTTCAGAAAGTGTCCTGTCCTGAAGCTAGGCATTACTATACTTTTATACTAAAGCCAGTTATACTTCCTTAGCTTCAAGCCATTCTTATTCCTGTTCCATGATGACGAACCAGTTGTTCTTCCCCCGGAATCCACTTTAAATATCACCATTTCTGTGGTTGGCTTCTTTAACACCTTTAGAATCTTATATATTGTGGGAAATTTTTGCTTTTCTATAGGCTTTTTTGCACTGGGATTTGAATTCGGTGTCTTGCACTTATGAGGCAGGTGCTCTACTTCTGAGCCATGCCTCTAGCACTTCTTTAACTATAATTTTTGTTCCTGCCTGGAAACAGGCCTGGCCTGAGATCTGCATATTTTAAGCTTCATATTGGCTGAGATATCAGATGCACACCACAATGTCCAGCTCCTACCTTTGAGATAGAATCTTAATCTTAGAGACTTTTCTGCCCAAGCTGGCTTGAAACGGTGATCCTCCCTATCTCAGCCTCCTAACTGTTAGTATGAGCCTCAGGTGCCTGGATATCTGTTGTGTTTTAAATTACTTATGATCAGTATGCTATGTTTGCTGTTAGTTTAGTCCTTGAGTACAGTATTACTAAAGTTACTAGGTCAGCATGATATTGAATGATTTAGGAATCTGAAAGTAGAATATAAGTGTATTATGAGTTTAATCCACTAAAACCAGATTAGACTCAAATACTGCCTGATGACAAATAGGACATGAGGAAAAATTAAGCATGTGGAATTTTCAGTGGTTAGTACAGTGAACAAGCAACTTAGGCACAAAGTATCTGCCTTACTACAGTATGTCTGTGTACATATTTGTACAGATTTGTGGAAATACTATTTTCTTTGTCTTTGCTGTATTTATAGTTTTCGGTGGAGAACTTGTTAGCTCCCTTATTTCTTTAATGAATGCCTTAACTTTTCAGCTATTCTGGAAGAATTTTCATCTGAAGGCTAAAGATAATACTTGCATGGCTTCTAATGTCTTTGCTAAGGAATCTTGATGGTACAGTGGAATGTGAAATTTGTCTAGTGAATGTGTTCCACGTGGTATATGAATGGTAGATTTTTCTGTAAATATGTTGTCTTCATGAAGATGTGATATCCCCTTATAGGAAGTGGCTGCTGTCTTTTGTTTTGAGTCTTGTCTTTGCATTAGTATGCTCTTCAGCCATATGTACATTCTCTGTTGAGGTGCTGAGTTTTCTTTTGCTTTCTGTGAAAGAAGCTATAGTTCTGTTTTTTCTCCATGAGTGCCAGAAAAGACTGTTTTCTCATCCATTTCTTTACTGTATCTATTGACAGGTTGATGATAGACTTCTTTCTTGAGGCATATTGCAGTCTGTATTTAGAACCATTACCTTGGAGGTTTTGTTTTTCTTTGATTTTTAAGTGACTTGTCTGCTACATTATTTTATTTGTTTATCACTAAAGACTGACAGTGGGTAGTGTTCCTCTTTTATGACCCTGAAAAAGGTTGTTTGGTGGGAGAGGACAACATGACCCCTAAGGGTTTGCTACCTATGGGTCATTAGAACATTTCTTTCATCAGAATGAAGGGGCTCCAGTCCTGAGACTTGGAGCAGCACCAAGACTTAGAAACTTCTTCCCCATACTCCTGTATGAAAGGTAGCCCTTATATGGCTTTCTGTGAATGTATATTCCCAGATTTTCTCCCACCACACTCCTTTCCAAACACTACCACCCCTTCTGTAACCTAGGTTTGCTTTGACCAGAATGACTTATCTTTATGTTTGAAGAAAGATTCATCTGACATACTATTTTCATACACTGTCGTTCTCTAAAATACATGCTTAAGCCTGTCTATGCTTTTCCCATTTCTGTCACTAAATTTTAGAGGCTAGAGCCTAATCAAAGCCATGGAATATTGCCTTTTTCCAGGAATACTACAAAGAACAACTGACTTGTTTTCTATACGCCACCTGACAATCAGTTCATGAAATAGTACAGCAGTTGTTTGAAAGTGTAAATCAGTTCATGTAATTTCTTTGTTTCTCATTGTACTTAAGATGAAAATATATTAGAACTAACGTTTTCTGTGACTTCAAGGCCCTATCACATTTTTCTCACTTCTCTTTCTTTGGTGCTTACTGTGCTCTGGCTATCAACCCATGTTTGGGCCAAAGAATTGGTTGTGTATTCTGCCCTTCATTTTAGCCTCCCAGATCCAATGGCTGGTTTCTCTTGTACAATTTGTGCCTTACCTCAAAAGACGGCCTGGTGCCAGTGGCTCACACCTCCTAGCTACTCAGAAGGCTGAGATCTGAGGATTGCAGTTCAAAGCCAGTCCAGGCTGAAAAGTCCCCGTGAGACTCTTATCTCCCATTAACTACTCCAAAACCAGAAAATGGCACCATGTCTCAAGTGGTAGAGGTTCAGGGACAGCACCCAGGCGGGTTCAAGCCCTACAACCAACACACACACACACACACACACACACACACACACACACAAAAACCTTCCCTGATCACACACACGCACGCACGCGCACACACACACACACGCCTTCCCTGATCACTCAATTTAAGTAGCCAGCCACTTCACTGGCAGTTTCTAGGGTGAAGCTCTGCTTTGTTTTCTCAGCCTTTTCACTCTGATTTTATTTCTTCTTGTCTCCTGTATTAGAATTTAAATACTATTGTTCATTTTTATAATTTAAGTATAAAGTACCTTGCACATATAGGTACTCAATAAATATTTGAGGATTGAGTGAATGTAGACTTTGTGTTTCCATGTCCACCTTTTTCATTAACTCATTTCATACACAGTGGCAGAGGGAAGTAGTAGTAGAGAGGTTTCAGTTCAGTTCAATTAGCTCCATTCAGAAAATGATACTGAGCTAGCAGGAAGAAAGGTGGAGATATTAAAGTAAGAGAAACCTTGCAATCAGCATGAAGATGCAAACTAGGCCTAGCTAGAGTAGTATCATATAGTGGTAAACCTGTCCTCTCAAGTAATTTTTGCAGTGCTGGGAATTAGGGCCTAGATTCCTGTGCATGCTTTGCATGTACTCCTCCACTGGGCTACATTCTCCAGCTTTTGAAATAATCTTTGAAAAATCCCACATTTTCTTGATTATATTTCTTAACCAAAATTTCGAACAATGCTAATTCCCATGTGGAAAAACTGGTGTATTTATTACATATGCATTCTAGGAAGGTGGAATTTCACAGTCTTTCTTAGATGACAAAGATTTCACTAGTCCAAGCAGAGACTCCTCAGTTGTGTTGCCTTATCTAAAACATAGAAATGTATGTTTATTCATCAGTCTTTTCATATAAGACAGGAGTCAGGAGATTTTTCTAAAAGCTCAAATGGTGTGTGTATCTCTTTAAAAAAAACTACAGTTTTTTTGGGGACAACTGAAATAGCCATTGGTATAGCTAAATTGCAGGGCAGGGTAGACAATCCTGTGCTGGATTTGACCTGCAGATTTTCTTGTGTAGATCACTCAGTGCATTGGCTGCATTTTCTTGAAGGGCTTCTTTGAGGTGAGATGAGAACTCTCATCCAGCAGTCTCAGGGCAGACTTTCCCAAGCTCTTCTGCCATCTCCCTGATACTTTACGATTGTCTTTTGCAAATGTCTATTGTCTTTCTAAGCATTCAACTTGGGTTTTTACAGAAACAACTCTTTCTGTTTACATACATCATTGGTATTTATATAATTATGGTATTTGTATAAATATGGTACTAAGTGAAACATATGTGAGTAAATTTGGTAAATGCAACTGAATCTTGGTGCAAATGCAGTGCAGCTGGTGAGAGCCAGCCATGCCATGAGGACCATGAGCCTGCAGTCATCTAGTCAGAGAGCAGTTAATAAAGCTGCTGTTGTGTGGATGGTTCAGACTTGCAGTCCTAGCTACTCAGGAGACTGAGATTTATAGAATTTCAGTTTGAAACCAGACTAGGCAGCAAATTCTGCAAGATCTATCTCCTATCAGTAAAATGTCATACTGAAGACATGCCTTAAGTAGAGTGCCAGCCATGCCCTGGGTGGGGAGAGGTAAAGTTCCTGTTGTATTTATTTTACCAAGGATTTTGTTTGTTGCTCTTTTTCTTTTAGGGAACTTATAGAAATGCTGGCTATTTCAAGAAACCAAAAGTTGTTACAGCAGGGAGAAGAAAACCAGGTCAGTAGCTTCTTTTAAAATTTAAACATGATAGAAATGTTAATTCCTACAAGGTTTCTTATATTTTTCCGAGAGAGCTGGAAACCTTTAAACTGAGATTTTCTTTTTCTTTTTTTTTGTCGGTCACGGGCCCTGAACTCTGGGCCTGGGCACTGTCCCTCAACTCTTCAGCTCAAGGCTAGAGCTCTACCACTTAAGCCAAAGCTCTACTCTGGCTTTTTCTGCTTATGTGGTGCTGAGGAATCGAACCCAGGGCCTCATGCATGCAAAACAAGCACTCTACCACCGAGCCACCTTCCTAGCCTTTTTTGTTTTTGAGGCAGACTCTAGCTCTATATCCCAGGTGGGGTCTCTCTGCCTCCACTTTCAAAATGTAAATTGATTTTTTTTTAACATCACTTAACATAAGATAACAGTATGCTTAAAGAGAAAATAGTTGAGTAAGGGCTTACAAGTATGTGTTATTTCACAGTTACTCAATTTTATTTTTTGAAGTAACCAGTCAAGCATATTAAGCGGATATTTTAAAAGTTAAATGTTCTTAAAAGCTGAGTCCTTTATTGGAGGCTATGTCACTGTAATTTATTTTGGAAATGACTGGAAATGAAGCATGTAACTGTAGAGCATATTTTATGAATATTGATTTACAGGTTGTCTTTATTTATATTTTCTTATGTTCCAGTTCTACAGTTTTTGTAATAGGGTCTCATGTTTTTATCTGCAGCTAGCTCCAGATCCTGGTGTAACAGGTTTATGCCACCACACCTGGCTTACTGATTGAGATGGGTATCTAACTTTTTGGCCTGGCTGTTCTCAAATTATGATCCTCATGATGTCTGCCTTCTAAGTAGCTGGAATTATAGGCATGAGCCACTGCCTTGCTGATTGAGAAATTTTTTTCCTTTCCCCAGAACTATGGTTTGAACTCAAGGCCTATAGTTGCCTGGCTTGCTTGCTCAGCTGGTGCTCATCTACTTGGGCCATGCCGCCAGCATATTAAATGGATATTATTTTGGAGATAGAGTCTTGGAAACTTTTCTGCCTGAGCTGGTCTGAAACTGCAATCTTCGGGATCTCAGCCTCCTGAATACCTAAGATTATAGGCACAACCCACTGGTGCTCAGCAGATCTATCTATCTCTATTGATTATCAGTAAATATTAATTATTTTAATAAATCTCTTGATTTATTAAATTATGCTGCCTAAATAGATCTGGATCCTGGACTCAAGATCTTTGTACCTCCTTTAAATAGATTCAGTAATGACTATGCTTTAGTTAGTTGCTTAATATAGTTCTTTATATAAGCTTGTATGGGATTTCACTGATGATGAACTTAGATGGGGCCTGAAAGTATGGAAAGGGGCTAACTTTAGGAGTATAGTATTAGCAGTTGTTTTTGTTTGTTTGTTTTTGTCAGTTGTGGGGCTTGAACTTGGCCTGGGTGCGTCCCTGAGCTCTTCAGCTCAAGGCAAGCCCTCTACTCTACCATTTGAACCACAGCGCCACTTCTGGTTTTCTGGTGGTTTATTGGAGATAAGAGTCTCATGGACTTTGCTGCCCCGGCTGGTTTTGAACCGCCATCTTCAGATCTCAGCCTTCTGAGTAGCTAAGATTACAGGCGTGAGCCACCAGCCCCCGGCTGTGTTAGCAGTTTTTTGTTTTTTTTGAAAAAACAAAACTAAAAATAAATATTTTAATGACACCTAGGCTCAGATACTCTATTAATAAATACCTGTGAGTACTTAATAATAAGAGGAGGCTATCCCAGACATGCAGTAAGTGAAATGCAAGGCATAGGTTTGTTTCCTATGTAATTGCTAAATGTTTACTATGAATCAGGAACATGGAGCTGGTCATGGGGCTTGGATTCTGGGCACTGTCCCTCAGCTCTTCAGCTCAAGGCTAGCACTCTACCACTTGAGCCACAGCGTCACTTCCGGCTTTTTTCTTTTTGCTTATGTGGTGCTGAGGAATCGAACCCAGGGCCTCAGGCATGCAAGGCAAGCGCTCTACCACTGAGCCACCTTC